CTGATAAAGAAAAGGATCTAGGGGTGGTTTTAGATAGAAAAATGTCACCTGAGGACCACATTAAGAACATTGTGCGAGGAGCCTATGCTACACTTTCTAACCTTAGAATTGCTTTTAAATACATGGATGGAGAAATACTAAAGAAATTGTTCACGACTTTTATTAGACCAAAGCTGGAATATGCAGCGGTTGTATGGTGCCCATATCTTAAGAAGCACATCAACAAACTGGAAAAGGTGTAACGACATGCCACTAAGTGGCTCCCAGAACTGAAGGATAAGAGCTACGAGGAGAGATTAGAGGCATTAAATATGCAAAAACTAGAAGATAGAAGAAAAAGAGGCGATATGATCACTACATTCAAAATAGTAACAGGAACAGATAAAATTGATAGGGAAGAATTCCTGAGACTCGGAACTTCAAGAACAAGAGGTCATAGATTTAAACTAACGAAACAAAGTTGCCGGAGAAATATACAAAAATTCACTTTTGTAAACAGAGTGGTAAACGGTTGGAACAAGTTAAGTGAGAAGGTGGTGGAGGCCAAAACCGTCAGTGGTTTCAAAGCATTATATGACAAAGAGTGCTGGGGAGACGGGACACCACGAGCGTAGCTCTCATCCTGTAACTACACTTAGGTAATTGCACTTAGGTAATTACACACACACACACACATAATATATAAGAATCAACATTTGTGTTTACCATAGTGAACCACTAAGCTGGTATGGAGAGTGCAGACAGTAACAGGTAGCCACACAGATTTGGCAAATGATGCTACTGTCCCCCCCCTCCCTCAGCATTGCTGTTCCCACCATACTACGCACAGTACAAATTATCACAACAATCTGCTATTATCAGAATCCTTGTTAATTTTATCAGTTAGGAGTCTTCTGTAATACTATCATCGCTAAATAATACCAAGTTACATATATATATATATATATATATATATATATATATATATATATATATATATATATATATATATATATATATATATATATATATATATATATGTCGTACCTAGTAGCCAGAACGCACTTCTCGGCAAACTATGCAAGGCCCGATTTGCCTAATAAGCCAAGTTTTCCTGAATTATTATATTTTCTCTAATTTTTTCCTTATGAAATGATAAAGCTACCCATTTCATTACGTATGAGGTCAATTTTTTTTTATTGGAGTTAAAATTAACGTGGATATATGACCGAACCTAACCAACCCTACCTAACCTAACCTAACCTATCTTTATAGGTTAGGTTAGGTTAGGTAGCCGAAAAAGTTAGGTTAGGTTAGGTAGGTTAGGTAGTCGAAAAACAATTAATTCATGAAAACTTGGCTTATTAGGCAAATCGGGCCTTGCATATTAGGCTGAGAAGTGCATTCTGGCTACTAGGTACGACATTATATATATATATATATATATATATATATATATATATATATATATATATATATATATATATATATATATATATATATATATATATATATATTTTTTTACTTTATTTAGGTGATGCTGTGGTCACATGCTGACCAGCAGTGCTGTGAGCTCATGCTGTGTGCACCAGTCTTGGTGGCTCACTCAGTACCGAGGCTCTCACACTCCCATAACTGACCGAGGTGGGACCAAAGAGCCAAAGCTCAACCCCAAGCACAACTAGGTGAGTACACCCGGGAATGTTGCCCACAATTTAAAAAACAAAATGGGGTCTGTTTACAAGAGCCCTGAGGAAGCTGATGTGAACCCTGAGTAGCCGTGGGACTTTTAAATCTTGCGTGGTACTCCCAGACATCATATGATGTGTTGCGCAATTCCGCGGCAATTATTCACCTCATCATATGATGTGTTGCGCAGGTTAAGGGTTAATGAGCATAAATATACATATCTCATACAATTCACTGGCTAGTGAGCAGGGCTCTATGCTCCCAGATTGAGCACACATTTAATAATATATATATATATATATATATATATATATATATATATATATATATATATATATATATATATATATATATATATATATATATATCATCACTTTCACTTCAGTTATTTTTATGGTAAAGGTTTTAAAATGTTGCAAATTCAGTACAGTATTACTGAATTTCTGATGACATAAAAAATTTAATTTATTACCCTATCTAGATAAAATCAGCATTGATCTTAGTGAGATTGCAGTTCCAATCGATCGGGAGAATGTCGCTCAAGGAACTTTCATTAAAAACGTGTGTATTTTTGCTCACCCATGAGAAATAATCCCAGTGATGGATTTACAATAATGAATATATTTCTCTCTTTTTGATAACATAAAAATGCAGGCTACATTAGTGAATCTCTGCTAATTACATAATATATCGGAATATGTAAGGTTCGGTGCTCCATGGGCAAACTGACATAAGGAGTGTTTAGAAAAATACATATTTTCACTTCAACTTCTGATACAGTATTTCCATTGTAATGAATTATTATGTAGCTTATAGTTCTGTCTATCTGGTGGCAGATAACATTGATGGAATAAACAATGATCTTCAAGAATTCGCATCTCCTGTCGATGGAGTAAGCGTCATTATGGAAACCTTTAAAACTGAGATATCTTTGTTCACCCATGATATATTCCTTGTGACACAATCACAGTAACAATGACAATATATCCTTGTCTTTCAAAGGCATATAATTTGTAGACTTAATTAGCATATCTATGTTCTTTACACAATATATAGGCCAGTTTATAGGCCTCAGTATTCCATGCCTGACAAGCCACTGGAAGCAATTATAAAAATACGTACATGCATCTTTGCTTGAACTTTATATATGTCCATGGAAAAGGATTTAAAATGAAATCCTTTTAAGGATTTAAAATGAAATATGAAGCTTATATTTCTGTCTTTCTTCAGACATATATAAACCTTTTATGTTAAATGACATATCTACATGAAATAAACATTGTTCTGTGAGAGTTCGCCACTCCATCAATCAGTCTGTGCAGATTCAGAGCTCTGTGAGCGATGAAACAAGCAACTTTTATAAAATTGCATATATCTTTGGTTTCATTAAAAATTTCATTTTTCATTTCTTCTGGTAGAGGTTCTACATATATATTATATTTTGGTCTTTCTTGTGATATATAAATAATTAATGTTTATTAACTTATTAAGATGGTTTCAAAACTTTTTTCGTGCATTTGTCTGTTCTTAAATGGTTGCACATTTTTAGAATCCCACACATGAGTTAACCCAACTGACAGTTGGGTCAGACGCCAATATGGTAGAACACCACCATTGGATACAGTTCTGAGGTACTTAACTATGCATCCACCTTTCATAACTTTTATAGTATGTGGAAACGCTTGTATAGTTTCTTCACTACTTAGTGAACACAGTGCTCCTTTTGACTATACACCATTGTAATCTTGCACAATTACTATTATTATATAAGAGATGTGCTTCAAGTTGACCAGAAAAAGATGTGTGTGTGTGTGTGTGTGTACTCACCTAATTGTGCTTGCGGGGGTTGAGCTCTGGCTCTTTGGTCCCGCCTCTCAACTGTCAATCAACAGGTGTACAGGTTCCTGAGCCTATTGGGCTCTATCATATCTACACTTGAAACTGTGTATGGAGTCAGCTTCCACCACATCACTTCCTAATGCATTCCATTTGTCAACCACTCTGACACTAAAAAAGTTCTTTCTAATATCTATGTGGCTCATTTGGGCACTCAGTTTCCACCTGTGTCCCCTAGTGCGTGTGCCCCTTGTGTTAAATAGCCTGTCTTTATCTACCCTATCAATTCCCTTGAGAATCTTGAATGTGGTGATCATGTCCCCCCTAACTCTTCTGTCTTCCAGCGAAGTGAGGTTTAATTCCCGTAGTCTCTCCTCGTAGCTCATACCTCTCAGCTCGGGTACTAGTCTGGCGGCAAACCTTTGAACCTTTTCCAGTTTGGTCTTATCCTTGACTAGATATGTACTCCATGCTGGGGCTGCATACTCCAGGATTGGTCTGACATATGTGGTATACAAAGTTCTGAATGATTCTTTACACAAGTTTCTGAATGCCGTTCTTATGTTGGCCAGCCTGGCATATGCCGCTGATGTTATCTTCTTGATATGGACTGCAGGGTACAGGTCTGGCGTGATATCAACCCTCAAGTCTTTTTCTTTCTCTGACTCTTGAAGTATTTCATGATCATCTCACCCTCTATCATAATTGATATGTGTGTGCGTGTGTGTGTGTGTGTGTGTGTGTGTGTGTGTGTGTGTGTGTGTGTGTGTGTGTGTGTGTGTGTGTGTGTGTGTGTGTGTGTGTAAATTTGTCCTGATACCATTATACACAACGTACAGTTTCACTTCAATAGGAATCTTTGCAGTGTTTGTAAGTCAAACATATATAACTCCTGGCCTTAGTGAGCATGGGGCTGGGCACATCCTATTTGTAGAGCAAGAATGTGGATGTTTGGTTCCTGTACCAAGGACAATTTTTTTAAATTTTGCCCCGAGGGGCGAGTTTATTCACTCATCTTGTGAGTGAACATACTGCCATAGCAGAATGTACAACACTCCCCAAGAACCCGCTGGGTTGTTCATCCTGTCACTTGTACCCAGACACAGCTGGGACTTGCTTAACTGTCTCAAGTGAACAGCTCCTCAAACAAGAAGTCAACCTTAAAAGCTTACGTTATCTTGCGGGTGCAAAATGGGGAAATCTTTTAAGAAAGTATCTTTGGTCAAACAATGTGGGGTTTATTATTCTAGGACAATGTCAAGACTTTGGTCACCCATTCTGTTACTAACCAAGAACAATGGTGCTTAACCTGACTGACCAAACCACATCCACATTATACACTCAGCCTCACTGCCTTCACGTTTTACTGAATAGATTGTGACGAGATGAATTGTGATTTTATATCTGAAGACTTAGTAACGTCTTAAATTTTCCTACCTTAAACAAAAATGTCCCACAACATTAGTTTGCTCCAAGGAGCTAGAGAGGTTGATTACCTTGTCAATGGAGGTGTTTGTAGTGCTTCATGAGGGGTATGGTGTCCTGGGGGAAGGTTGTACACAAGTTACAACAGCCAGGCTGGGACGGCCAAGGCGCAGCTCAATGTAAACACCGAGGAATGACACCCTACCGTCCGCACTCTTAACGGGGTCACATAATCACTCTCACCCTCTATCACATCATTGATATGCCTGAATTTACCTAAAGGACACTAACACACTAGTGGCCTCGACGAGGACAGAGAGCCGGTGGCTTGTCAAAGGTCTCTCGATTTCGTCCTGATGATTTTTTCAAGCTAGATTTTAAAGTTCAGCAGAGTTTTGGCATTTACGGCTTCGGCGGGTAGGCTGTTCCATGGGTTTATTTTTTGTTTTGTTCTTTACTTTAATATGAGAGAACTCTGTGTCTATGCTAAATGCACAACTTGCCTAAACACGCAAGAGAAGTTATACAACCTTAGAACACTTTCCCACCAAGAGATTCGAACCCTAGCCAGCACAGAAGCCTTACAGAAACTGGCATAACTGGTACGCCTTTAACCCACTGCACCACAGCTCAGACCCTTAAAAGAGTGGGAAAGTGTTCTAAGGTTGTATAACTTCTCTTGCGTGTTTAGGCAAGTTGTGCATTAAGCATAGACACAGTTCTCCCATATTAACAGGAATTTGATGAAAGAACGTGAGTAGCCCCTCACTATGCTCTAGTTGCCCTTGGGAGATGGTGATCTTTGGGGGATTTAAATACTCCGGAATTACCATCTCTTTTTAAGGGTCTGAGCTGTGGTGCAGTGGGTTAAAGGCGTACCAGTTATGCCAGTTGTTGTAAGGCTTCTGTGCTGGCTAGGGTTCGAATCTCCTGGTGGGAAAGTGTTTCCACCAGGAGATTCGAACCCTAGTTCCGTCAATTAAATTCACAATTGAGAACGAAATGAATGGTGTTCTGCCTTGTTTAGACATCATAATTCACAGAATCGGTAGGAGTTTCAAATTCAATGTGTATAGTAAACCTACCAATGTGTGCTCGTATGTTCATTTTTACTCATATCATCATGTTCAGGTCAAGCGGGCAGTTTTTTCTGGTATGTTTCTCAGAGCCCTGAGAGTTTGCAGTCCGTAATGTTTTGATGAAGAAATAACGAATATATTTGAAATTGGGAAGAAGTTACAAATACCCAAAATCTATCTTGGATCTTGCGTTTGATCAAGCAAAAAGGACGTTCTACAAACAGACTACTAAGTCTAAACCAGAACTGAAAAATTCGTTGGTATTACCATATTCTGATGGTCTAGCAAATCTTGCCCCAGCCCTGAAAAACCTTAATATTAACCTAGTGTTCAAAAATGATAATACAGTTAAGTCCATGTTAATTAAGAACTCGCCCTTGTCTGTAGTAGGTTGTGTGTACTCCATCCCTTGTAATGAGTGTGCTTGTGTTGAAATTGAAATTGAAATTGAAATAAGTTTATTGAGGTAAAATACACACAAAGGGATGAGGTAGCTCAAGCTATTCTCACCCCATTCAGTACAACGTGTTAATATATACATAGACACACATCACAAATAAACATATTGCCAAACATTCTGAGAGGTAAACATATACATTTCCTCCTTCACAAGGAGTATGTTATCAGACGTACACACAAATACTTTTATGACCTAGGTATACTGTATAGACAATTTGCAAGAGGCATGCAGATAATTCAACAAAATATTACAATCTTGGTGCAAAATTCTTATATCTCTCAAGAATATCATCAACCTTTCCGTTGTGACACATCCAGGCTATTTGTTCAGGAACAGTCCTTATCTCAGTGTTTCTATATACATTAATCAACGGACAATCAAGAACATAATGGGCCAGGGTGTGAGACCTTAACATACCACATAGTTTACACTTCGTGTCATTATCTTGAACATCTATCCCATATTCCCAGTAATATTTGTACCCAAGCCTGAGCCGCATGTACACAGAGTCACTCCAAGCATTTCTCCTTTTACCATAAGTGAAATGGGTGTTTTGACTCACATACATGTAGTGTTGCATGGTTTGACTACTCTCATACATTATCTCTCTCCTCTCCACTCCCGCCTGTGCCTGAATATTTCTGATTTTGCTTCTTATTTGTCTCATTGTAAATTCACATTCAATGTCAACTTGTGGTTTTGATGTGGCACGTTTGGCCAAGTCATCCGCCACCTCGTTGAGCACTATTCCAACATGAGATGGAATCCACATGAATTTCACACTATAACCTTTCAGCTGTATCTCAGTTATTCTTCTCTTACAGTCCTCAACTATAGACATGAAGACTGGGTTTCGACTGTTTAAGGACTCCAGTGCTCCTCGGCTATCGACAAATACAAAAACATTTTTGTCGTCATGACGTACTTCCTCCAAACACGCCAGAATGGCCTGCAGTTCAGCTTGTGTGGATGATATATAATTACTAAGCCTTGCTTGTGTTTACATCGGCCAGACTGGTAAATCTCTTTCCTCGTGGTTAAAACAGCATTCATATGCTATTCGTACAGCCCAGCACTCCAGTGCATTGTATTTACATTCCAGTTTATGCGATCATTCTATCTTAAGACTAAAACTTAATACTAATTGAGATTAGAGTATAAATTGTGTTGAGAAAATATAAAATTGAAAAAAGGGGGGAACATGGTAGAAAAATAGCAAATATACAATTTGGTCCACAAACAGCATTGTTTAAAATAGCAGACATGTGCTGACATATAAGGGAAGGGGTCTCGTAGCCTGGTGGATAGCGCGCAGGACTCGTAATTCTGTGGCGCGGGTTCGATTCCCGCACGAGGCAAAAACAAATGGGCAAAGTTTCTTTCACCCTGAATGCCCTTGTTACCTAGCAGTAAATAGCTACCTGGGTGTTAGTCAGCTGTCACGGGCTGCTTCCTGGGGGTGGAGGCCTGGTCTAGGACCGGGCCGCGGGGACACTAAAAAGCCCCGAAATCATCTCAAGACAACCTCAAGAAGAAGGTAGGTTACATGGAGTTAATTCAAAAATCAAATCAAATGTTTATTTAGGTAACGTACATACATACAAGAGATTTTACAAAGAGTGATGGATTTATAGATAGGGCTAGTACATACAATGCCTAAAGCCACTATTACGCAAAGCGTTTCGGGCATGAAAAACTTAAATGACTAAAGCTTATTGTTTCTGGTGTGGTGCTCATGGGTTCTGTTACAACCTCCTAGGAAGCGTTTAAGGTCACGATTGACATTACCCAAATGAATTTTTCATGGATATGATACCAACATCAAATCATATATCAGACGTCACCCTATCCCACTGGATTTTGAAGAAGCCATAAACAGTATGCCTATGCACTCTGCACCAGGCCCGGATTCTTGGAACTCCATATTCATTAAGAACTGTAAAAAAACACTATCGCAGGCATTCCTCCACATTCTGTGGAGACAAAGGTTAGATACTGGCGTTATTCCTGATATACTAAAAACAGCAGAGATAGCACCACTTCATAAAGGAGGAAATAAGGCAGAGGCAAAAAATTACAGACCGATAGCACTAACATCGCACATTATAAAAAAATTTGAGAGAGTGCTAAGAAGTAAGATCACAAAACACATGGAATCACAGCATCTCCATAACCCCGGACAACATGGTTTCAGAACAGGACGCTCTTGCCTGTCGCAGTTGCTGGACCACTATGATATGGCATTAGATGCTATGGAAGACAAACAAAACGCTGATGTAATTTACACAGATTTCGCAAAAGCTTTTGATAAATGTGACCATGGCGTTATTGCACATAAAATGCGTTCAAAAGGAATTACCGGAAAAATAGGCAGATGGATCTACAATTTCCTGACCAACAGAACCCAATGTGTAATAGTCAACAAAATAAAATCCAGCCCATCAACCGTGAAGAGCTCAGTTCCCCAGGGTACTGTGCTTGCTCCAGTACTTTTTCTCATCCTCATATCGGACATAGACAAGAACACAACCTATAGCACTGTATCATCCTTTGCAGATGACACTAGGATCTTCATGAGAGCAGGCAACATAGAGGACACGGCAAACCTCCAGTCAGATGTAGATCAGGTCTTTCTATGGGCTACAGAAAATAATATGGTGTTTAACGAAGATAAGTTCCAGCTCATGCGCTATGGAAAAAATGAAAATATAAAAACGGAAACCACGTACAAAACTCAGGCAAGTCATAACATAGAACGAAAAGGCAATGTAAAGGATCTGGGTGTACTCATGTCGGAAGACCTTACCTTTAAAGAACACAATAGAGTAGCCGTCACAACTGCAAGAAAAATGACAGGTTGGATAACAAGAACTTTTCACACTAGAGATGCTATACCGATGATGACACTTTTCAAAACGCTTGTGCTCTCTAGAGTGGAGTACTGCTGCACAATGACAGCCCCATTCAAAGCTGGAGAAATTGCTGACCTGGAGAGCGTGCAGAGATCCTTTACTGCTAGAATCCACTCAGTAAAACATCTAAACTATTGGGACCGACTAAAGAGCCTAAATCTGTTCTCCCTTGAGCGCAGGCGGGAGAGATACATAATAATTTACACGTGGAAAATATTAGAGGGGCTGGTCCCAAACCTGCACACAGAAATAACATCACATGAGACCAGAAGACATGGCAGGATGTGCAGAATACCCCCGTTGAAAAGTGGAGGTGCAACAGGTACTATGACAGAGAACTCTATCAACATCAGAGGCCTGAGACTGTTCAACACGCTTCCGCTACACATAAGGGGCATAACTGGCCGGCCCCTCACAGTGTTCAAGAGAGAACTGGATAAGCACCTTCAAAGGATACCTGATCAACCAGGCTGTGACTCATACGTCAGGCTGCGAGCAGCCGCGTCCAACAGCCTGGTTGATCAGTCCAGCAACCAGGAGGCCTGGTCGACGACCGGGCCGCGGGGACACTAAGCCCCGGAAGCACCTCAAGGTAAGGTAACATTAGAAGAGCCAAAATTAAATACTACGAAAATAAATTTACCCAAACAAAGGGCAACATTAAGAAAACATGGGGCACAATTTCACAAATATTGGGATCAAAGAAAATTTTAAATAACAAACCAATACTCCTG